TTCCCTGACTTCAGCCCGAGACTGAGCCTGCTCTGAGCCGCTGCCTTGGCCTTGGGTTTCTCAGCCAGGACTCCTGCATCACAACATTCCCCAGTAAAGCTGGAGAAAGCTGGTACTGTTGCTTCAGTTAAAACGGGAGAGAAGGAAAGTCATAGGACAGATATGTGCTGAGTTTGGAAGTCGGAGTGAGGGAAGTATGCAGTGACTCCGACTTGCACAAACCTTCTGGGTTCGTTTGGTCGGTGTTTGGCAGCCGCTGTTGCTCAGCCGCTCTGTGGGCTTTTTGCTTGCTCTTTCCTAACTTAGCAGACAACTAAGCTGTGTGGTTTGCACTCTGTACAGCACTGCATTCTGCCCCATGTATAAAAAAGGGCAGAGAAGGAAGCATTGGGATTTCTTTTATTATTTCATTGCTTTTACCTTAGTTTTCCTGGGAAGTGTCTGTATGCTTATTTAGAGCAACTGTAGTGCACTATGAGCACAATGAACTGTGCCACCTCGTTTTCTTCATTTGCATAGACTAATCATTAATGGGAAAGATGATGGGAAAGGATGTACTCTCAGTTTACAGGTTTAAATTTAAACTTTTAACAGGTTTAAGGGTTAATGCCCATGGCTGCGCAGTTGCCATTACTAACCAGTAACTAGCAATGGCACCCGTGGACACCAGTGTTTCTGATGACAAGGTAGGGGCTCGGCCCGCTCCTGAGGAGGGACATCCACACCAGACCAGTGACAGGTACCTGGCTGTGGAGGCTGTCCCTCTGGGAAAGGCGGAAGCACCTCGCGGCAGCATCTTGCTGCTGGAGACGCTGGGGTTCCCGGCTTGTCGCTTTTCAGACAGTGCCACTTCCCTGGTGTCGGGGCTAATGACAAACACCTGAGGTGACTGATGCTCTGAATTTTGGATTCAGCCAGAGGCAGCAATTTGCTCAGTGCGGGTTGGGTAACGCACCAAACTGAGCTGCCATTATGTCTGACGATTTGTACTTCTGTCTTTTGTTTCCACCCTGCCTCCCATGGTGAAGGACTACGAAGCTTTCTTTGAAGCTCGAGAGAACAATGCGGTGTATGCGTTTTTAGGCTTGACTGCGCCACCTGGTTCAAAGGTAGGTGTGTACGTTTCTCACAGTAAACCACAACCTGTATTGTACACCATGTTCTTCTCTGCCCATAGCAGGATCTTTTCATCTTCTGTGGTTGCCCCAATCAATCTACCCACTGGGCTGATATTCAGTCTCCAGAGACTAATGTTCAGTCTTCAACATCACAGCAACACGCAGTTGTTATGTGCTGGTTTATTTGGAGGATGCTGTGTTCCCTGGAGGCATCTTCCTCCCCCTCCTTCTACCAGAAAAACTCTGTGTTCAGTACAGATGCTCCTTTGGTATCCTCACTGCAGAGCCACCCTGCTCTTTTTTAAGTTAATGGAAAAGCTTTTGTAGCTTTGGAAAGAAGAGCTGGGTCAAGTTCTTCACTAGTAATAATTGTCTCTTACCACTGGATTTTTTTATTTTTTTTTTTTTATTATTGTACACTCTGGGAACAAGTGAAAGAGTGCTTAATATCTGCACTGAAGAATGCACAAGAAATGAAAAAAAAATTATCACAAACCCAAAGAATTATTTCAATTCAGTGAAAAACAACTTAACCCATGTGAAGTTTTGAAGCGATTTTTGTATTAGAAAATACCTTGAAACCAGAGCCACTGTTTTTGAAATAACATGGCCTTGCTTCAGAGTAATTTTTTCCTCCAGCATGTTATCTGAAGTCTTGTTTTCCTGTGCTGGTTATGAACTGGGTTGCTGCTTTGTGGATGCAATGGGCTGGACTTCTCCTTTTGATTTTGATAGGATAGGACAAGCCTGCTTTATACGTTTCACTTGACAGCAGCAGGATCCTCCAGGTCACTTCCAGCTTTCTTGTTCCAATGAATAAACATGCCGTTTCCTTTCAACTGCATTCATGTAAGAGTTGAAGGTCATGCCGTGCACACCACTAAGGGACCTAATTTGAAAGGTGGATGATGAGCCATTGGTATTAAGCATTACAAGTTGTGGGTCAGACTGAAACAGTTTTGGGAGCCAAACTGGTTTCTAGCAGTAGCTCCACTAATGCGAATGGTGCAGCGAGGAAAAACTCTGCCTCGTACAGAGAATTGCAGGCAGCAAAACCTGTGATAGTGCCCCAGCGTCGTGCGTCGCCGGCGTCAGGAGGCCAGCTGCACACAGTGCGACAGTTGTGTAAATCTGATTTAAGTTTCTTGGAGCATCTGCACAGCGCTGCACAAAACGCAGGATGGAGCCCTGAGACCACGGGACGCAGGAGTGCCCCTGTGTTTCCCCTCATGGCTGAGATCTGGGAAGCGCAGTGGTACTGGAGAGCAGCTGCTGCCGTAATGAATCAGGTCATCTGTCTCTCTACCATCTATGAACATCGCTGCTTACTTAACCTGCCAGATTGCAGAAGCAGTCTGCTTGGCTATTAGTTGCTCCAATTCTGTCCGAAGGGGTGGGTTTTAAGGAAGAGGTGAGTTTTAAAGGGGAGAAACATAATGCATTTGTACTCTGCCAAATTTTCCTGTTGCTTGCTACAGCTTGGGGGGGTGCGTTTGAGCCGATGAAGATAACCTTTGCATAAGTGACCTTGTACTCAGCGCATTCTGCTGTTGGGCTGACTTTTGGTGTCCGTCCCACAATTACTTGATGTCAGACCAAGCTGCTTGCCTGCTGCGGAGAAGGAGAGACCTGTTTGTAGATGTTGCAATTGGCATTTGCAGCAGAGCTGCATGCAGCTTGGCTACCATATTGTAGTTAATGACATTGCATCTGTACATGTTGCTACATAAAATGGAAGGAGCCCGGGATCAACCCATGTGCTATTGCAGGAGAGGACCTTGACAGCAAACCTCCAGTAAATGTCATCATGGAGTTTTGGATTTTTGCGTTTGACTCCGAACGCAAAATTCCAATATTAAGGCTAAACAAGAAAGGCTCAGAAGTGAGGGTGAGAAATGCAAGTAACTATTTACTGAGCCCTGGTGCTTTGGCTTGTGCTTTGGGCACTGAGAGTACAAATAGAGCTACAAACCCTGGGAAAGGTTGGCATTCAATTTATCTTAAGTATCCCCACTTCAAGCAATGTGGGTTTTGAAGGGAGAGGACTTAAAGGCTGTGATTAATTGTTTAAGGACTGAGAGCATGCTCAGTGAGGGGCCTTGAGGAAGAAATAAGGGAAAGTATGAAAGAGGGATCGTGTCAAATCTGAAAAGCTGAGCCTTTCCCAGGTAACTTGCAGGACCATGACCAAGGAAACGGAGTTTGACCTTCAAGACAAATAGGTTAGCGTGTTCTCCGAGTTACTGGTACCCACTTCCCTGGGGATGTGGGAAATAACAGGAATCTGCTCTAGCTTACCACTGCCTGTTTTGAAGAGAAGTACTTCACCCTCCATTTTCTGACAAAAAAAAAAAAAAGCGAGCCAGATGTCACTGCTGTAGTGCCCACGACTGGTTAATGGAGTTGTTACAAAGCCAAGGGAACCATCTCCTCTTCGTTACCATTCAAAGAACCACTTGTCTTTTAGAAAATACCAAACATCCTTTTATTTCCTCAAGGCTTTGTAGACCTTTTTAATCTTTCCTTCGTTCCTCACCTGCCTTTTCTGCCGCGAGCTGATCGGATGCCCTCGCACCAGCAGCGATGTCCTGACTCCGCTCTTTGCCCCGCGTCGTGCGGCCAAGAGGAGCAGAGCGCAGTCCGGGAGCGCGGCAGAGCCGAGCCAGCCGTCCGAGTGAAGCTGTTCCCACGCCCCCGATTAACAGGCAGCACGATGCGAGGCGCTTGGGCCGATAGCCAGGAAAACCAGAGCGATCCACCACGTCTAAGATAACGGAGATATGCGTGGTACTTCCTGCCCCGCGGGCTGGGGTCACCCACCGAGTCCCTGCTCTTACAGCTCTTACAGGCTTCTTGGAAATTCCCTTCTTAGTCCTTTCTCCTCTTGTTTTTTATTTGTTCAGCACACTGGCTCATGTTAACAATGATACCGTTGAGTCTGTTATCTTCAGTATTCCTACGCAGTCACCAAAGTGAACCACTCTATTATGTAAAAGTTGAGTTTAGCAGATGTCGAACTTTTTCCTTTAAAATAAACCATGCTGAGGTGCTGGGGTGAGAGCACTGTGAGTCTTCGTCTTTTTGTAGGCCGTGATGCTGCTAACAGGGAATTAAATTAATCTGCAGCCACAAGTATGCTTGTAGAAACCATCTTCAGCAAAAAAATTCCTTTTGCATTGTTTCTGTTGTCATTCTGTTCCCATTTGTGACCACCTTACGAAGGCTGAAAGAAGACTGAAAGTCGCAGGCTGGGTTTTTTTTTTTTTTTAATGTTCCTTCTGAACGTACTGAGAATTGTTAGCGGCTAGCTGGCCTGTCTGCTAAACTGCTTCAGCTGTTCCTTCATCTCAGAAGCCTCATGGGAATGTTTTCATGTAGCCAAAGGACACCGGATCTACAGCAGGTCCCTGGAAGAGGCGTGGGCTGGGGGCCCTGGGCCTGGAGAGCGGGTGGTAGGCAGGAGCGGTTCCCAAGGAGCGTGTCCCCGCTGGCTGGCTTCCCCCGCAGCGGGGAGCCGGGATTACTCAGCAGCACCAGTGCCAGGACGGACCTGCTGCCAGCCCCAGGACAGAGCTCACGTATGGGTCTTCTGCTGGAGCAGCTCCGAGCTGTGTCTGATGAAGGACTCGCTGGCTGCTCTGATCACCCTTCCAGGAGGCAAAGCTCAGTGCTGGCTTTTGGTCCTGTGGTAGGGTTTAGTTCAGAGAGTAAATTACGTTTCTGCTGAGACATCTTTTTTTTTTTTCCTTCTTTTTTTTTTGGATGTGGAGACTTATTAATTCAGAATTCCTTTTCCATTTAACCCTAATTCTTCAAATAATCTTTGCTCTCTAAATAGTTCATGCATCCTAACATGAAATCAGGGATAACTCGTTGTATCAGATCTTCTTTTGTTTTAAACTTTTATGGTCAAAACTGGTCTCAGCCACAGGTTGGAATATTCCTGCAGGGCCTACTTGAGCTAGCTTAGCATTGGTGTTAAAGCCAGCACTGTATGGGACTTGTTTTGTAATGCCATCGCAGGCAGTGGGGATTCTTTTCTTGAGTTGGGTTCAGCGCTGCTCAGTTCTTAATCGTGCATTGCTGCAATTTTTGTTATTTCTTATGTGGGTGCCTAACCCAGGTATGTACGTGTAAGTCGTCACCTTTCGTAAAGTACTAACGTGTGTAATTCTGTTCTGCTCTTTCAGGAAGCCGAAGCACTGGCAAAGCAGCAAGCATGAATTTCAACTGCCTTAAATGTTCTGTAAAGGGAATTTCCACAGCTTTTTATAAAATAGTACAATTGTCTCCGCTTCAAGAAACGTAGATGTGATTTCTAACATTTGATTGGTGCTTGCAGCATTCACCGTACATAACACAGATTTCAACACGAGATGGAAATGTGAACATAGGGAGCACGGAGTGTGTTATTACAAAGGTGGAAGCATAGGAAACAATTAGACATGAATGATTTTCACGTAGTTTAAACTGTCTCGGCAATTTGTCCATTTTGTGTAAACTTCAAGAAACTATTTTAGTACTAATAATGCAGATGGGCTTGTACCTAGAGGTGCAACTATTCAGAATATGGAAACCAAACAACAGCATCTAGAACCTTGTCAGATACTAACTGCGGTGCCTGAGTTGCCTCAAAACCATTACTGAATTACACGGTAATTCTTCAGCGTCTTTCCTGGTTTCAGATGAAATTGTAGGTGGTATCGTGTAGTAGAGCCATTGTAGTCACTTTTGAAAGTTGTGTTTGTTCTTTTGTAGAATGGATATTTAAGATTTGTCTTGTAACACACTGTACAGATGATAAAAAAAAAAAAAAATGCCCTGTATTTCTCATTTAAGTGATCCGTGTGGGCTCTTTTGACAGAGAAAAAGGGATTTGGGCCCCGGACAGCCTTTCCCTTGGCACGGCCATCACACAGCTGCCTAAGCATGACCCGATGACATGTCTGCGTGCAAGATCCAGCGCACCTCAGTGCAGTAGGCGCTAATTCCCACGCAATGTTGCAAATAAGCCAAAACGGCCAGAAATGGCATTTCCTTACCTGTGTAAGGGTGAAAGCCTTTAATGTATTTCTCTACAAATATACCAGTTCACACTGCTTATAGTATTAGGCATCTTACTGCATGTTCGAGTAGTCGTTAGATTCATATAGTATTTTTTCAAATGAGGAAATAAATGTTTGAATCGCAAGAACTATCGTAATTAAGCAAGGCTTCTTTTTTTTCTAAGGTTTAAGAACTTTTTTTTCCATTGTTACTGCCATATCATGAAGCTATTGCAGGAATTGCAAATCTATTAGGGTGTCTCGTATTGGTGAATTTACCACGTGCAATATTAACCTGTCTGTTCTCCCAGTGCTCATGAGAGAGACTGCATTTCTTGGCCACGTTCTGCAAAAATACAAATCATTGCAAGTGCCCTGAAGGATAAGAAAGGGGTTTAAAAATTGCGTGGGTAATTTAAAAGGCGTTTTGGGCCACGTAAAGTACTTATTCCCCAAAAGCATCAAAAAACCGTGAGGAAGATAATTTGTCTTAGTTAGATCTTGGATCCCTAGAGTTAGAGGATGGTTCCAATAGCTCTGCACACAGGCATTTTGATTTTCTGTGCTTTATGAAGACAGAGGTGGTGCAGATCAGCAAAAGGCTGCAGCGCGTCATCGCCACGCGGTTATTGAACACCGATGCTGTAAAATGCGCGCAGGGCTTTTGAAATACTTTCTGGAACGGCTTAGAGTTTGTAGTTTTGAAGTCTGAAATTAGGAACGAGATACAAGTAAAAACTTAGGTTTACAAAGACGTCCTAAAGTGCCGTGATTTAAATACTTCCCCCTCCAATATTTCTTCGGGGCTTTTTGTTCCCTTCGCTACAAGCGCTGATTTTGGCAGCAGAGAAATGCAGCTCCTCGCTTTGGTTGGAGAGGAGCTCTGCGTCTGGAGAGCTCACGGTGACACTTCCACAGGCGTCCGAGTGAGCAGGATCGAGCAGGGAGCCAGGGCAGTTAAAATGATGTTGAATTCATGGTTTATCTCGTCTGATGTGGGAGCCTGGGAGTCAGTTTGAAGCTTGTCCTATCAAGAGGCATAGGGGTAGATTAACGTTGCCGTACCTTCGCGATTAACACACGCGTTTGTGCTTTTTCATTAACAAGCTTCGTCCGTAATTACTGAAATTCTGTGAAATTTATTTTTAAGATCTTTTGGGGGTGGAAGTTAAGTTACGTTTTCAATCCGGTGCCCAGTTTTTGGTGTTCGCTAGGATTTCATCTTTCTGAACCGAGGTGATTTTTCTTTCTTAGTGTCAGCAAAATCTTTCTCCGTGGCCAAACTCGTGGTCAAGTTGTTGAGGAAGTGTGAGAACACCAAGAGCAGCCTTGTGAAGAAGGTGGGGTTTGACACACAAGGCGCTGTACTCAGACCAATTTGCTGCGTTTCCTGTGTAAGGAAAGCATGGTGTAAATTTTGTGAATTCCAGTCTTTATTTGGGAGAAGCTGTAATTGAAAGTCACTGCCAAATTCTGTCAGCTCAGCGACCCAAACCGTTCTGAAACGAGGTCAATCTCTGTTTCTGACAGTGAAGAGAATTGCCAAGTTTAAGAAACAAAGTCACTTCCCTCGTCTGGTCCCCCACCCTTGCCATATGGGAGCATTCAAACTGTATCAGCATTCCTAAGAAAGCTCTGTTGAGACAGCCTGAATTATTCCTTTGTCCGGGGAACAAGGCACCAACACAAACTGAAAAATCCCGAAAACATCTTTTTGTTGTGGGACCGCCTGTAAAACCTGCGTTCATGTCGATGCGGATATTTTCCATGAGAGTAGGAGTGCTAGGAATGCGTCGCCTGGATGCTGTTCTTCTGTTCCCCATCCCCGTGTTAGGTTAATGATGGGCGCGAGAACTGAATTTGTTCACTTCTTTATTTCTGTTTTCCTATGTAGAAGGCAGGCAGTGAGGATTTAACCTGTATATTAACCATTCCTGTATCATTCCAATAAAATGGTTTTAGAATGCTTTCTCACATGAGTGACTGGTTTGCATGTTTTGTTCACGGTCCCGTAAGGTGAAAGAAGTGGAGTTTTCAGGTGAAAACCCTGCTTTATTTATAAAGTACAGGATCTATGCAATAAAGCGAAAGCAGCGCATCCACTGCTGCCCCGGGAAGCCTGTCGGGTCGGATCTCTCGCCTGTCGCAGCTAATGGGTTTTAATTACTTCGGATGCACCTACGCAAAATCGACTTTGGAGGCTTTGGGGGTTTTAGGGGAGCACCGGAGACGCTGCCTAATTAACCCGCTTTCCCACCCTTTCCCCGCGGCGGTTACCGAGGGAGAGCGGGCAGGGCAGGGCTGGGCAGCTTCGCCCCACGCCTGCAGAGCTTGCCAAACAGCCTCAGTTGCTTTTTTTTTTTTCCTGCGACGTGTAATTAATTAGCTTTGTGCTGCTCACAGCAGGGGAACTGGGTTATTTAATATTTGTGTTGCCAGAGGGCAGTGTAGGATAAATTTTAAACTAAAACTATTCCTTTTTACCATCTATTTGCCTGGTAGACCCAGCAGGTAGGTTCTTCTAAGCTGTACACGTTGAAGTTTTGCACCACCTAGGAGATCTTCCGCAGAGCTACAGAAGATGCATTCCCAGCCCCTAAACCGCCCTAGGATTTGCCCAAATCCCAGATTTCAGTTCCCATCCTCTGCGGGAAACCAGCAGCTTCGTTCTTTAGAGAGCGGCTTGCGGGGAGGCTGCTTGCTTGCCATTTATAGGGTCGACTTTTTTCTGTCTCAGCAAGGGAAGCGCACCCGAGCGCCATCAGTTACGCTGACGGCTTTCAGGGCCGGGCAGTGCTCGCCTCTCACACTCGCCCCTCTCTAGCGTCTAATAAACAAATGGTCCAGCACATGAGCCAGAAGGGCTTCTGATGCCATTTCTAACGATCGTGAACCCCATTTACTTTCCCTGTTTATACACTTGGCTTGTATAACCCAGAAAAATCTCCGTGTTTCCTGTTCATTTATAAAAAGTGTGAATTCAAGTTGTTACTCGTTCATGTGAAGCTCAGTAGAACAAAGTTTCCAAAGAACCTGTTTAAAACCCAAACTGCAGGCGTGCGTATGTTTACTTGCTGTTTCAGGTTACAACGGCGTGCGCTGTAATAATAAACTTTACCAGTTTGTCTGGGATTTTATTCATTTCTCATTTAACATTCTTAATCCGTACGTCATGGAAAATTCAGGAAACCCAGCATGGGTTAACTTCAGGTACAGCTGCAGTCAGCAGAAGTCACTGAGGAAATAATGAGCAGCTCCCTTACTGCTAAGAGACCGTGTGATATATGTAGGTATAGATACATACACGCAGAGGATATATAGATCTACGCTGTATATAAGTATCTGTTCTGTATCTTGGTTTTCTATTTTTTTTTTTATATTTTGAATGTGAGAAAAAGGTCTTCACTAGTCCTGTGCGCTCAGGCCCACGATTTGAGAAATGCAAGCAATGAGACTTACCAAGAAGAACGTAATTAAGGGTTTTTTTTTTTTCCAAAGGACTGATTTAAAGCCATTAACATAATAGATTCAGACCAATCGGTAACCTGTGTTAAGAACTTTATCAGACCTCATCTCTCCTGTGTCTTCCCCATGATGGTAAGAGAATTTTAATAGCCAATTTAAAAAGAAACAGAGACAACTCATTTCCCTGGGAAGAAGCCATTAAGTTTTCCTGACTCAGTGTTTTCCTGACTCAGTGTTTTCCGCTTCTGCCAGTCTTGCTTTTTTTCACTTTTTTGGCGACACAAACACAAGAGCGGGAAGGCGCGCGCGGCGCTGCCTCATGGGGGGCGTTCTGTGGCCGCGTTTCCCCACCTCATCCCCAGCCTCTGATGTTGAGCAGATTCAAGGTGTAAGGGGAAAATGAAGGCATTTACTTCTTGCTCGTTATCCACACAGCCCATTCCCGCTCTGCGAACCAGCACTGCATTTCTTCCACGTTCCTTTCTTCTTTTTTCCCCCCTTTCTCAGAGAGATCATGACAGCATCTGTGCTCTTTCTGGAAATGGGTTATACCTGGCACAGAAAAAAAGCTGATGCGTGAAGCCCATCTGCATAGGTCAGGTAGCGCTACCTACACCAAAACAATCCCACTCTACAAATAAATAATTACCAAGTAATGATCTTCTAGTGAGTTTCCTGCAGAAGTATTCTGTGATTTGTCCACAGTGGAACATTTTAGATTGAAAAGCTCATTATTAACAGTTTGGAAAAGTTTATTATTGACAATTTGCAAATGTATTGGAAAACTTTGGGAAGTGCAAAAGGATTCTAAAAGTCAATTTACGGCGATGAAGTAGAAATCGCTGTCTTACTACGGGAGGTGAGCACCGTGTCGTACTAAGTACTGAGTACGCCGAGTGTTCTGAGTATGCAAACCCCATCAATTTAGTGTGTTGCATTCATGGAGTATCAAAATGGGTCTTATGCACAGTAATTCCTCCTCTCACGGGTTTGTCTATTGAAGACATCTTCTGGAACTTGGAGACTTCTTCGTTTTCGGTTGCTTGCTGTAAGCTCTCAAAATCCTTAAAAAAGGAAATGAGCAACACCATCAATACCCCGGCAACCGCGGCCTAACTCCCATCAGACTTCAGTTCCTTTTTGAGTCCTTTCCCAGCGCGCTGGGGGAGTCGGGTTTTGTTTACAGAGAGAGCAGGGGGTCAGGTACACGGTTCCTAACCACTAAATCCGAATTCGCCTTCGTGAAGCCCTAAATGCCAAGCCCGCGGACGGCAAACCCCGGCTGCCACACGCGGCGGCTCCGAGCCCG